GCCTCTTGAATTTAGATCGTACTAATATCTGTCTCTTATACACATCTAGATGTGTATAAGAGACAGCGCACAACCCTTGTATTCTCTCACTCCTGAAGATTGCATTAGCATGAAACAGTCTGTAGAGTGATAATACCCAGTTCTACAAGTTCTACATTTTCAATACTTTCAATATATATATATATATATATATATAAAATATATACATACACATACATACATACACACACGAATTACAAAATAAGATAATTATTGCATTTAATAATTTATACTAAAATGACATAGAAAAATATAAAGAACATTATTAATTATTATTTAAAAGATTAAAAACACAGAAAAAGGTAAACAATACATTGGATATGAAAAATGAAGAAATAGTTAATATTACTTCTCTTATCTTACACTTTATTTCCAAGGCCTACTCTTTCCTTATAAAAAATAGTAATAGTTCACACACTTTTGTTTCTAATAATATATTTTAGATCATTTATTAAAGAAAGTGTTTATTTTGCTGGAGCCGGCAAATATGCTGGCATACGACCGGTTGAGCCGCCGACAAGTTGAGCCGCCGGTAATTTCTATGGAATGCCAAGCGCGTCTCTCAGTGAATGTAGTGCGTCTCTCAGTGAATGAACCCCCCCGGATACCAGCTACATATTCATCCCACAGTCTTGTCAGTCGTTGATTTGCTCGTATTGCCGTTTGTGATGTATAAGTTGTGTGATTGAAAATTAGAATTTTGATTATTTTATGTACTACATTTTTATAAAAATAAATGAAGTTGTGTAATTGCAAAATCGTATTAAAAATGTAATTTTATGTACTACATTTTTATAAAAATAAATGAAGTGGTATAATTGCAAAATCGTATTAAAAATGTAATAACTTGATTATTTTTAATGTGTTTATTTACGTTTGGTTTGCAGCATATTTCAATTAACTTATTATTAGTAAAACAGTAAGAAGTAAAATTAGTAAAACCAATTTGATTTTAAATAGACAGATGACTATAAACAATAAATTTAAATGTGTTAGGCCTATGTTATTATTACTATGGTTTTGTAATTTATATATTTTTATTTTTGTACTATTTGTAAAACTTATATATAATAAATATTAAGAATGTATGGAGTTTTTTTTTTTACTATCTTGCAAGCCGCCTGAATTAGACAGATGACTATAAACAATAAATTTAAATTTGTTAGGCCTATGTTATTAAATAAATTAAATACATAAAGTACATAGACTGAAATACATCCCAAACAACAGTACCAAGAACGAATAAGTTAATTGAAATACACCGCAATTAACGCACTACATTCACTGAGAGACGCGCTTGGCATTCCATAGAAATGACCGGCGGCTCAACTTGTCGGCGGCTCAACCGGTCATAATCCAATATGCCAACATAGGGCCCTAGTTATTTTGTCGGTCTATTTCTCTGATTGGCTTTTGGTAAAGTATAAAGTCATAAAATTTCGGTAGTGAGTTGTATGTTTTGCAGATGACATTACACTCATTATTTAAACGACATACTGCCGGTAAAAAGCTTCTTTCTACTAAAATTTAGTCTAAATTGCCGGTTGGAATCACAAATAGGCCTAGGCCCTAGTATACAAAGTAAAGGTTTGTCAGGACCTAACAAACCTTTTGTCTCAGGCTAAGTTAGGGCCGTTGGAAAAGGACGATATTTTTCTTAGCATCACTAGCCCTAGAGAATTACAGAATTATAGGCAAAGATCTATGTCTATTATATCTAGGCCTATCTTATTTAAGCCGAGCTACGCTAGGCCTAGGCTAGACAAAGCAAGCCCATCATTTATAAACTCACAAAGAATGGTTTGCAAATTTTGGAGCCGAAGACGGTGGGGGTTGATTGTGAAGGTGGCAATAGAGAAGATCGAAACAAAAACAACACATCTCAGCACAGACAACTAGACTGCGGTCAATTCCATTTGATGGATATACAGAAGATCCATTGCAACAGTGTTTAGTGCAATTAGAACCACTACAAACTTTCTGTCTTTTAACACCACAACACCCCGTAGCCATCTTTGGTCGTAAGTAGGACAAATGGACAGTACGCATGCGTGTTACTCACCCAAACTCGTCCTTTAAAATAGAGGGCGATATTACTATTGATTCAATTCAATTAATAATTCAATTTCAATTTTATTTTCACTTGAAAATAGAGATAATTAAAATAAATTGAGTCATTATCTCGTACGTAGAAATAAAAATGTGTATGCTGTAAATGTATTACTAATGTAAATTCTGGCACCCTGGAATCTATGAAAGCGTTTTCATTTCATTTACTCTTTACTTGTCTCATAAAAACAGCAAAAAAAAAAAAAAAAAAAAAAAAAAAAAAAAAAAAAAAAAAAGATTAAAAAAAAAAAAGACAGAGAGAGGGAGAGAGGAAATCTAAAGCCAATGGGCTTCTTTTCGAAATAGTACGTACACTGTACTTGAATTATAAAGAAACAAATGCCTTTCAGACTGAGGACGGTTACAGTGGCCCTATTTTATTGTTTTATATTAGTAACACCCAACATTGACAGTATAAATGTTGAAAAGAATCACCATCTTTACTTTGCAAAAAGTAGCCTCGAAAATAAATAAATAAAAAAATACTTTTATTCGAGATTACGGTATGTCAAACGAAGACCCTTGATAATTTCACAATAGACGTTCAATAATCTCGAAATTTTGATTTTGCGCTAGTCTAATGATATTTTCATTAAATTAAAGAGAGAAAATAGGGGTGGGGGGTCACTTTGTTTTTCGGATCTTCGATATTCGTGTTGTGTACACACCCATTGCTGATTCTTGGCCGGCTAAGTTAAGTTGTTTCTATGGATCGGATGGAAGTGGTACGTAACTTGGCACACAGGATATGTTAATATTTATGACGATTTTGAATATTTCAAAAAGATAATTCCGAAAAAAATAGATGTCTTCGTCTTTCAGGTCTTCGGTCTTCGTTTTGTAAATAAAACTAAGACCATTGATAACAGACAAAATAATAATAATTAAATATTCTTGCTTTACCTAAAAAATATTTTATCAACGTTACTTCATAAAATACCGTAGATCTATTATAAGCTATCACTTTGCAGGGCGGCGCCAAATTCCCCGACGAGGGGTTCAGCTGTCCGAAAAGGGGTCCAAGCTCCACGACAAGGGCTTGGAACAAGAGAAAAAAAAATTGTGTTGATTATGGTTTACTTTATGTAAAAACGATAATTTGATAGAAAACCATGCAAGGTAAGATACCACCTGTCAGGGGTACTAACCACCCGTCGCAGGTACCAGCCTAGCTGTCACTGGGAAGATCTGGCGCTACTACCGCAACCTTGACCGTGACAACCCATATAGGCGAGCAGATTATGGCCAAAAAGTCCTCTAAAAATCGTTGAAGTGGCAATGGAAGTATGGCCTACTACCGGCTAATTTTGATATTTTCAGAAAATATCAAAATTAGCCGGTAGTACTTCCATTACCACCTCAACCACAAAATAGCCTCTAATCTGCTCGCCTAATAGGATCGCGATAGTGGGCCTCAGTATAAAGTCGCACATATTATTACGGTATAACACTGCTCGCACTAAGTTTTTAATCCTTAACATTTGACAGCGTCAGGCATACCTAAATAATTGTACTTTCGGCGGTCGAGGTTTAATTTTTCCCCTACGAACTTTCCTGGAAATTCCCTGATAGGGGGACCAAGCGGGGGACAAGAGGTCCCCTTCCCCCACCCCGGACCTCATCTAGCGCCTCCCCTGTCACTCTGACACACAACGCTTGAATGCTGTGTACACACTGCAGCGTGACCACTCACAAGTTTTGATATACCCAATGACTGGGTCGAAATTACCCAAGATTCAGCAAAAATTGCCCAAAATTACCCAAGCTTCCTGAAAATGCATTAAAATTTGAAAATACGTGTTTTTCGCATGTATAGTTTCCCTTTTAGTTCAATTTATAAACCAATTTTTATATTGTAATTGTTTGTGTTAATTATTAAAATTAATATTCATGAGGTGATAATACGGATAGAAAATATGCCCTCAGTCGACCAGTGTTATATCAGTGATCAAGTTTTATTATGTAATGCCTTAATTAGGTAAGATCAATGGCAACGCAAATCACAAATATACAATTCTGAACCCATGTTTATAGCAATTAACAGTCAATTAACAATGTTATGTGCACTTCGTTGAGTTTTGCATACTTGAATGGACTGAAATATACTTTGTTACTTCTTAATTCTTCCTCTATGACAAAAAATATTTAATTTTCTTAGGAAAAATAAAATACCCAAGGATTTGAACGGAATACCCAAGAACACAAGACCAAGTCAAAATACCCAAGATCTTGGGTAAATACCCAAGCAGTGGTCACGCTGACACACTGTATTTACAATCATGGTTGACGTGTTTGTTGACATCAGTTTTATGTAAGTTGACGCAATTATCTATTCTGTTGTTGTTCTGTCACCAACGGACGCACGACCCGCCACTGCATTGTGGATGGTTGGCCGGATTCAATCGTATTCGTAGTGTAAAGAAACATAAAATATTTTTTTGAAAGTTGTAGGTACAAATTCCGCATTTACCTTCTAGCTATATTTAATTTTTAAGTATACTTTTAGTGTACACCACGACTAGCTTACATAGTGCCTTTTGCCTAGGTCAGGCCGCCCTGCTCGGCCCATGGCCTAGCCGGCGACCCTAGCTAGGCCGAACTTTTAAGACTTTACTTCTTTAGGCCTCCTCCTAGTTCTAGGGCTAAGCCTAGGCCTTACCTGGAGAGGCATAATCCTAGCTAGCCCTAGACTAGATACTTAGTTAGGCTAGGCCTAGCCACTTGCGAGTAGAGAACAGACGTCAACCGTGTTCTGAAATTTACAATCGATGAAGATAGGAACCTTGGTACCGGAAGTGATCATAACACCTTATTGTTGGAGTTAAAAATTGGGCCAGACATGGGATATAATCAAAGTACAAAAAATATGACAAAAGATAATATATGGAACATTACAAGCTTCCAAGATTACTCTGATTATCAACAGAAACTCGCAGAGGGCTTTGCTAGTTGGGATATAGACACAATACATGATATAGATATGCTATGGGATTCCTGGAAAACAATTGTTATAACAGCTGCAAAAGAGAGTATAGGAACTAAACAGTTTAACACAAAACATAAAAGCTGGTTTGATAAGGAAGTAAAATCTGCAATTTTAAAGAGAAGAGAAGCTGCAAGGGCTCATAGACATAGTGCTAAATTTATATCAAATAAAATTGCTACTCAACATCTATGGGAAGTGTATCAAGAAAAGCGATATACTGTAAAACAATTAATAGCCAAGAAAATTACAGAAAATAGAGTAAACAAATCAGTTGAAATTGCTAAGAAGGGTGGACCAGCCTGTAAGGACTTTTGGAATATCTTAAAGGGTACTCATTATAACACATCGGGCATTACTTGTGTTATATCACCAGATTCGGGAGAAATTATTACTGAAAAAGAAAAGATTATGAAAGCAGCTCAAAATTATTGGGAAAAGCTAGGTGAGTCTAACACGGATAAAGATTGTTTTTCTCTCCTGATAAATAGACAAGTTAACGGATTACGTAATAAATCTTTTCTTGCCACTGATGATGATAATGAGAACATGTTAAGAGATATTAATATAGACTTAGATATAATAAATGAAGCACTATCTATGGCCAAAAATAATAAAGCACCGGGAGCTGATAATATTACAAATGAGCTTCTGAAAAATGGAGGTGCCGCAATGGAAACATCTCTCATGTATCTTTTTAACAAATTAATCCAAATTGAAAAGATTCCAAATGAATGGAACTTAAGTATAATTGTCCCAATCTTCAAAGCAGGAGACAGGAAAGATTTTAATAATTATAGTGGAATTTCACTAACTTCTTATGTTTCGAAAATTTTTAACAGAGTTATTTCTCTACATATTTCTTATTTTATTGAAAGTAAAGATTTGCTTTCATAAGTCCACGGAGGTTTCAGATCTAAGCATCGATGCGAAGATCATATTTTTACCCTTAAAAGTATTATGTATGTGTGTATGTATGTATGTATATATGTATATATGTATATATGTGTATGTATATTTATATGAGTGTATATATGTATATATATGTATGTATATATATGTATATATATATATGCACACATATTTGGGTGGGGTACTGTATGCACGTAATGTGTATTATGTACATTATTTGTGTGGGGAGGGTGAGGGATGTTCATGATTTATTTTAGATCTAAGTTGTATTTTCTTTAGTTAAGTTCTTTCATTTGTTTAGCTTTAAGTTGTTGTTTTTACTATTTGTTCATTAGTTTAAGTTTGACTGCGCCACTTTCTTGTGTGCTGCCACTGATGTAAAAGTGTAATGTCAATAAAATATTATTATTTATTAGACGACACATGCTGTGCTGCTTGTTTGTTTTGACTGGTTTTGATATGGAAACCACAGAAACTGTTCAAAAGCAACAATCATTCATTTTCCTATGCTGTCCAGGCCACCGAAAGCGGGGCAAGGGGAAAGGGGTCATTCAAGTATTATGAAACACAGAGGGGGTGGGGGTATAGTGGAAAATGTTACAGTGTGTGACATAGGGGTGGGGGTGTTGCTTGAAGTGTTACATAACAAAATTAATTTTCATGGGAAGAGAAGAAATATTAAATATTCAAACTTGTATGATATTACTTTATTTATTGAAACATACTACATCAGTGTAATACAATGTAATGTAACACAGTTGTGTTGAATTTGTGAAATCAGTAAACAATGAAGTTACATCTACCATATCAAAAAATAACAATTTCCAAGAGCTATGATGTGCTGCCATCTAGTTGTTATTAGAGCAAACCATTTTTGATAACAAATTTATAGTGGACATTTATCCTGATACTTAATGTTGTTCATCTGATTTTATTAAATTGTTGATGTTCGGAAGGTGTGGGAGGGGGGGGTGGTTCTAGAGTTATATAACATTTAGAGGGGGGTTTGGAAAAGTGTTACAGAGTGTTACGGGGGGTGGGGGTGTCAATATTTGCCAAAAAATGTGTTACATAATACTTGAATAACCCCAAAGGTCCCCGTGGCCCAAGTTTACCAGGGGGACCATAGAAATTGAAGGTTGCATTTTTTTTCAATGTTTCTTTCAAAAATAATAATTACTATTATGTGCCCTCAAAAATGACACGGGTCCCCTATGGACCCCTCCAGATTTACAGGGCCTCTCAATATTTAAAAAAAAAATATTCTTTTTTTGTGCCGCCTTTTGAACAATTTTATCGCCCGTTACAGTTTCCCCACTTGGCCATGGCAGCCTGATGCTGTCTAATTTTTCTTACCTGTTACTTGTTAATATTCGTTACTAACGAATATAAAGTTGTAAATTATATTATTATAAAACACACGGAAATCTAGAACTACTGTTGACACGATAAGTTCATAAACATGTTATGCCTTTTTAATCTTGTTGCGTTCGAACTGACTTCTGTGCTGTGGTTTCCATATCAAAATAACAAGAGCAGCACATGTGTGGCCCTTGACCTGTCATTGTCACGTGCTTGTTTGACCAATCATAACACGGTTGACGTCTGTTCTCTACTCGCAAGTGGCCTAGCCTACTAGGCAAGCACTGCTTAGGCTAGGCTGAATGCCATCCGTTTTGGCCGTGATGTATTTGACATCAGAATTTGTTTGTCTTATAATATTAAAATGTATGTTGTGCACAATTTAAGACTTTTTTTTGCACAATTTGCAAATTGTTCAAGCTGTTCCTTGCAACAATTTGAAAGCTTTGCAAGGATTTCTTTGCACAATTTGAAAACTGTCTGTGCAATCTGATATCAGGCTTTTTGCCGATGATACAAAATTGTTTTTCGAGTGGTTCAGTCTGATTTGGTAAGAGATTTGCTTCAGTCTGATGTTGATGCAATGTTTAGATGGTCTCAGGAGTGGCAGTTACCTTTTAATTTGACTAAATGTAGTATTATTTGTTTTGGTTCTAAGAATCCAGCATATCAATACTTTCTAAAGTTAGCATTGAATGTGTTACACAAGAAAGTGATTTAGGAATTTTGATTGACAACAAATTAGATTTTTCAGCTCATGCTACTACAGTTGCAAGATCTGCAAATAAGATTCTGGGAATGATTAATAGGTCTTTTAAGTATCTCGATAGTAGGAGTTATATGTATCTATACAAGTCTATGATTAGACCTAAGATGGAGTAATGTGGCATTTCATGGATACCTCTTTATCAAAAAGACATTAATTGTTTGGAAAAAGTTCAGCAACAGTCTACAAGGCTTGTGACTGAATTAAGAAGGAAGTCTTACGAGGAGAGTTTGAAACCTCTGTAATTGTAATTGTTATTCACCATAGAAATTTAAATTATATTTACATATCTAGGTGTCAGAAGGTGCAGAAATCATTGGTATAGTGTGACAAGACTAAACAGCACAGTAATAATGACATCATATCAATTTCCCCACTATTCACTATCCGTCTATAGTTCAGAACCCACTTTCTTAAAGCGAGTGGAAAGAATGACTAGATAATATAAATCATTATTTTTTTGAATGTAGGTTTCATTTCATTTTAATTTTATTCAGGAATTAAAATCACATATAACTTGAATGAATACAGAAAAAGAAACAAAGAACTGATAAATGTTGAAGAACAGTAGATAAGACAATAATTCCTAGGGTAACCTAAGAAAGTTTTACAATTTATAAAACATATTTCCATTGGGGCTCTTAAACAAATTTTAAACATTTTTACCACTTAAGAAACATAAAACAATTAACAATAAAATGCCTAAATTGACTAATATGTAAAATATAAAGGACATGAAAAAAGAAATAAGAAAAAGAGATAATACATTCCTATTTCAGGTCGGTATGTTTAATTTTGAATTGTTAACCTAAAAATCAATTTTAAATACGACTTCTATATAGTAAAGTCATTTTCATGAGATCCGTGACTAATTTTAGGATACCTTTTTTTCTCGATGGATTTGGCAAGATGGACCAATTTAGATAAAATATAGCTCCTACATATTATATACCTCCCAGATATGGGGGGAAATTCCCCTTTGGGGGGCATTTTTCAAAATGGCCGCCTGTTGATTTGGACGCTTGTATCTCGATAACCACTGGTCGGAGAGACTTGATTTTGGTCTCAAATTGTTCACAATGTGCATGTTCCTATTTGTTGTAATTTCAAAAAATGGTGGGAAATGCGATTTTTGAAAGTTTGACCTGTGACCTTGTATTGTCATATCTCTGTAACTACTTGTCACAGAGACTCACAATTGATTGCAAATTGTTCAGGAGATTCATGTTTATATTCGTAGGTATCTATATAGGTAGATCTAATGTATCTGAAAAACTGGGGTAAATTTAAGAAAAGATTTTAGCTTTCCACATGACGATCCGTTGTTGAGAAACATTGGCGTTTTTCACTTTTATAGATCTGGTCCCAAATTTGAATATATGCCATTTAATTTTAATTGATTTGATCAGCCTGTGCTTGCATGTGGCTAGAGACAACTACACAAAGATAATATATCTGTAATATGAGGTGTATATACCAACTCATATTTTATTTATTTATTTTATTTTATTCATTTGGCATGACGGCTCAGGAGTCACAAAAGCGGGAAATCCACTGTTGCCTGAAAGACGTGCGGCTCCCAAATATGGACGCAGGGTTACCTCGAAAATCACAAAAAGATTTGCATTGTTAAACAAAGTGGCTACTTTAAGTGCAGATAACTTCAAAAGGGAAGAGATAACTAATCTAAGGCCATTTGTGAAATATGGCGAAAAATAAGTTAGAATACCAAGTTGGACCTTGATAGCCATTACCAATCCCGAGTTGTAAGCTTCCAAAGTTGAAGTAAATTGCGTTTACACATCTTTAAGAACCACGCCCCTTATTTGAGGAGTCAATATCTCGGAAACTACATATACTGTAAAGGCTAATATTTTTTGTTGGTTTTTCAGACAGCGGATCATTTTTATGGCGTTTTTTTATCTGGTTGATTTGACTTGGAATGACCCTACAATAGGTCAGAATGTACCATTTCCGGTCACTATTTGAATATTTTCTTCATTAAGACAAACATAAACATGAAGTTCCTGAACAATTTGCAAAACATACCAAATTTGGTTAGCTCTGAAAATGCAAATACATACAGTATCGCATACAAACTTGTGCATACATAAACACCACCGTACGAACCGTTGACAGACAGCACTTACTTGGAATGGAAAATATCTGATGTTGTTTAATGAAACATAATGATTTCCAAGTATTTAATACAATGCCTTACATTACGGGTGAAATAAGCTGTGGCAAAATGACCCAGAGAAAAACAACTCGGGATCAAAATGATTTTAAAACTGGCTACAGTGCAGGCGTACTGGTATTGGCCTGGTTCTGGTTCGATATTTGAGCCCTGTCATTGTAAATTGAATTGAATCTTCAGTTAATGTGTATATCTCTTTAGGTATTACTTGTATGAATGAATCTTACTGAAAGCTAAGATTGATTGAAACCATGGTGACGGTGTGGCCACTAATTCTGGACATGTCCAGAGATGACTGCAAGCGATTATTGCGTCGCCTAGAATTGGAGGCGTATGCAAGTATGGTTAGTGCTCTACGGGCGCAAGGAACATTGACTAAAGAGAAGAAGAAGCTTTTGGCTGACGTTGCCAGCGTACTGAGGTAAGTTCGGTGGTGGGTTTAGGGAGTGGGCATGGAAGGGGCATGTATCCCTGGTTTTGCCACTGCAGTCTTTCATTTTTTAACAGAAAAAGATACAAAATGGAATACAAATACTAAATCCAGATGTTATAATTACATTGCATCTAGGCCTATATGAAGTGGGTGTCCTCTTGTTTTAAAAAGTCTGGATCTGTCTGTGGGTAAATTAATAATTAATAGTTCAGTTTGTTACTTCAAGTTGAGTTACAGTCATCAATTATTTTTTATAGTTATATAAAACTATCACCATCATCAGAAATTACGAATCTTGTGCATGGTTTTGACATAGACACCTTCAACTAAATTGTTGCTGATGACATAGCAATGGAGTTGGGATCCATAGGATATTGTGTTTCTTATCATAGCACATTTTTATTATCTTTTTTTGCCAGCATATCGACAGAACGTCACAGAGCTGAGGTTCGTAGAGCAGTCAACGATGAGAAGCTAACCACAGTAGCTGAAAGGTTTGTCAAGTGTTATTGATCAATTAAAAATGGTCAGATTTATCTATTGAGGAATATGTGTGACCCTCAGTTCATACTCTGAACGCACCTCCAATTAACCCCTGACCTCAAATTAAACCTGACTTCAAATTAACCCCTGACCTCAAATTAACCTAGTGCTATCAATTGTTATTTTATGTTCCTTCTCTACTGAACTTTTCAAACAAATTTTTCATCAACATTAAACAATGCTCCACAACTATGTATGTTTTTAAGTATTTGTTTAATAATAATAATTAATATAGAAATATTTTTGATTTCTATTTAGCTAATATTGTTCAGATTTTATCAATAAAATAGACACATTGCATTGATTAGATATGTATAATAAAGCTCCAGTGCGCGCAGCATTATTGCCGCCAAAAATTTCCTGATGTGTGATCCATGTTCTCTTATGAGAGGTCCAAGTTCATCATAGCTCCACTGTGTTATATTTTTGTATTGTCCTCAACATTTATATTCTGTACCTACTGTATATCAAGTTAATTCCAAATTTCTCTCTTTTAATTATTATTGGTATTGTTGTTAGGGAGTTCCTTGATTGCGTGATGACATCTGTATTACCTAGAACGTAATAATTGTTATTGTTATTGATTTTAGACTGAGTGGAAGCAATAATTCGGTGGAGTGGTCAATAGAGGGCAGGAGACTGGTACCACTACTTCCGAGACTTGTTCCGCAAACAGCCTTCACTGAGGTAGCAAATGAAGCTGCCGAAAAAGCTTTTACCAAAAACCTTACCATGCCGGTACCAGCAGATGCCTGCTGTAAAGAGGGTATGTAAAACATGAATCGTCATCTGTATAAAGACCAACTTTTCTATCAACTATTATATGATGTAGTGCAAATGAACAATGCAATGTAATAGTGATTTAATACAAGACATCTCTAAAAAACATCATCTGGTATGCTTCAACAACAATTTTAAAATAAAATAACCAATATCATTTTACACATTTTTATCATAAGACGTGTCAAATAGTGTGAAAACTAACTGTTGTTTTTCATTTCAGCTGCAAAGTAAAATATAAATATATTGATAGAAAAGGAAGAATAAATATGTTGCCATAAGATAACAACCAAAAAAAAATATTCAAATTAGGTTTGAATACATTTGTTTGTTGTAGGTGCACATGAAGTAATTGTTGCCATTTCAAAATCCAGTAGGCTAGGGACTTCATCACCAATGGTTCTTCCACCTTTGACAGTCCTACCAAGTGGGTTATCTGTTCCAGTAAAAGGTAAAACCTTAGAGTAACTTTACCTGAAGTTTCTTCTGCAAAATACAGTTATGAACAAATTTCCATTGTATATATGTACAAAACTGTTACAATTTTAAGGTCATAACAAAATTATTTGATACTTTAATATCTTATCAATTTGAAGGTGGATTTGAGCCGGAGGATAATGGTTCAGAGAGCTCCCTTAAACGGAAACGTTCAAATTCCTTGAGTTCGGTAACGTCAGCGTCAAATGAGGTCACAACAGCAGTCAGCATCGTAACGGCAAATGTCAAACCAACAGTAGTCAGCCATAAAGGCACTTTGAGTTACTTAACTTCAACAGGGGCATCTGATGGATCGCTAAAAATCCCAATTACAAAGGCTGTGGCATCAGTGGCGCCACCCCAACCGCATATTGGAAAGCAAAAGGTAAGGTCAAAGGTTGTAATTTGAGCAGTAAATTTTATGAATTTTGAAAGTTAATCCCTAATTATATAGACTAGAAAAAAAATCTGAAAAAAATGAGTTAGGGGGAGTGGAATGTTAGAAGCAATCCACATAGCCAGATATCTTAATTAATCCTTTCTGGTCACCCTAAGCCCTGTTGACACTTGATTTTACTCCTTTGTATACAAATGGCGGCCATTTTTCAAAATGGCCGCCAAATTTATCTAAAATGTGCATAAAATTGAAACTAAATAAGCTACAGATATGATTTTGGTGTCTAAACTCATATCTCCAGAATGGAACATAATTAAAAATAGGTGTTTATTTGTTTAAAAATAATCGCAAAATATACTTACTTAAAATGTACATAAAATAAGAAAGAGTATATAAGCTAGTTTTCTATGTAATCCAGATAGATTTTTGAGCAAAAATAGATTTTATTGACTAATTTTATCATTTTTACTGCGCTGAATTCAAAAAAGTAAGGTGCCATTTTTTTCCCAAAGTCATCGGCCGCCATTTTGAATTTCAAGATGGCTGACGCAACACATAAAACATGGTTATGATTGGTGTCAATGGAAAGCAGTGGCAGATCCAGGGTGGGGGGGGGGGCGGTTCAAGGGGTTCGGACGAACCCCCCCTGTCTCTTATACACATCTAGATGTGTATAAGAGACAGGAGTATAGTATACGTTTCTCGCGCATCGTGCGGGACGGTCCCGCTTCAAAGTGATTTTGGATGTAACACGCATTTGGAAGCGGTTTGGCGCAGCGTGAAAGGTTTGGTTTCCCAACCTCGAGGTCGGGGTTTCAATCCCTAGCTGTGCATTTCGCTTGTGTCCTTGAGCAAGGCACTTTATCTGCATTGCTTCTCTCCACCCAGGAGTATGAATGGGTACCTGGTGGGGTTGCTTGCTCCTGTGCTGAATACAGCAGCAACACTTAGCATGTGGATCCAATGACCAGGGACAGAAGCGCTTCGTATCTGCAAAGAAAGGCGCTATATTAGATTTGGCAGAAACACATGCGTGATCTTAAATTTGTCACGCATTTAGTCCACGCATGACGACGAATAATCACGAATTCATGGAAAATATATTTAAAATTAGAAGAAATTAGTTTTATAAAAATTATAAAACAATCATGCAGTAACTTAGAGAGCTTTCATTATCGCGTTTGAGATTCAATTCACCAAAAGCTTTGGCGGCGCGTGTGGTCTTGTGCGTTCATTGTCACAATGTTGATTATCCATGAAGCTATAAAACAAATTAAATTAAATATTTTGATAAATAATTTCTCATTATAAATTAAGACAACGAAATTCCTAAAATATGTATATATATTAACTACCAAAAGTCAAAAGAACAGAAGCTTGTTATTTTTAATGTATTTAATCTTGAATGTTCTAATGTTTCTTAATTCATTTAAAAAAAAAATATTTTAAATACAAAAGAATTTGTTTCTGTATTAGTTTCAACAAAGAAGTTTCTGTAATATGGGAGAAATTGGTTTTTTTTTTCTTGTTTTCAAAATGTCTATCTTCTTTTAAATTTTGATTTTTAATTGTGTATAGAAGATGAATGTGCATGTTTTTTTGTACGCAAGCTTGTCTTTGAGTCGGGTTAACTCATTGAAATCTAAAAAAAAAAATAATCTGCTATCAAAAAATTCCAAATATTAAGTTAGTTCTGGCTATATCTGCAAAAGCCTGGGAAGATTTTTATATTTAGCAGACTCAAAATCGAGGTGGTTTGAGGCTTTACTTTACAGAATATAGCACTATTACGGTAGCTACTTGCCACCTGCTAAT